CAGCAGGGTTTTTCTGTAACAATCTTTCTGTTAAAGTAGAGAATATGCATTTCCTGTGAAAAGGCTAGTGTGAATGCTTCATGCTGAAAACTTAAGCTGAAATCTGCTGAAATTGAGCTGAAAATATTTAATAGAAAAACTATTAATACTTTGTATTAACACTTTAATTGTGTGAATGCTTCATATCATTCACACTATTGACATCATCTTTTCTTCCGTATGTTTTTCGGCATCTAACTCATTCCACAACTTTTGTGCTATTTCAACAGTTCATATATCAAAATGTTCAGCTCATTCATGTGAGGGCTGCTATGACTTGGTATTTCAGTTATTTATGCTTTTTTTTAAATTTTTTTTAGCTATTTCACTTTTTTTTAGCTATTTCACTTTTTTAGCCACCTTTTTGCCATTGAAAATGAATGGAGCTGTTTTCAACATGCTTAAAACCCTTTAAAACGTTTCTAAATCTTTACAGCACCTTACACATTTTGTTCAGATTATGTTCTTTTTCACTTTCTTGTACTAATTGTAGCTACTTTTTTTTTGCTAATTTTAGCTTTTTTCAGCTTTTTCAGCTAAAATTCTGCTTCTTTCTGCTATCTTCTGATTTTTCTACTTTTTTTCTGCTTTTATCTGTTACTTTGTGCTATTTATGCTTCTTACAGTTGCTTTCTGCTATATTAAACCATTTGCTGAAATTTTAGCTAATGTTTGGCTGCTATTAGGTAAGGTTAGATTTTCTAAGCTAAATGCACATTTTTTGTAGCTATTACAACTTTTTTCAGCTAAACTTAGCAAACTTGTGCTTCTTATGCTAATTAAATAATTTCCAGATACTTTTTAGCTGTTTTACTGAAAATTTCAGCTGTTTTAGTTATTTTACTACAAATGATCATTTTTATGTAATTTTATGCCTTTTTTCTGTTTGTTATTTTTCAACTATAACTATTTCAACTGGGAGCTAATTTCAAGTTGTGGCTGCTACCTTTAGCTTATTTTATACTCATTTTAGCTACATTATGCAACTTTAGCTATTTTTCTGCCTTTTCTACCTTTAATAAGTTTTACTGCTACCTAGTGCTATTTAAGCTTCTTACAGATGTTTTCAGCTATATTCACTATTTTAGCTCTTAGCTTCTAGCTGTTTTCTGTTTTCAACTATTTGCACATCTTTTTACTGTTTTTCTGCAAAGTGAGGCTTTTTTGCTTCTTTCAGTTTTTCAAAGTGAGCTCACTTTAACACTTTTGCTATTAAATATTTTCAGCTCAGTTTCAGCAGCTTTCAGCTTACGTTTTCAGTATGAAACATTCACACTAACATTTTTGCAGGAAATGCAATTTCTCTAGTTTGAAAAGCTGAAAGAAGCAAAAACACCTAACTTTGCACAAATTGCACAAATCTAGTTAAAAACAGAAAACAGCTAAAAGCTAGGAGCTAATATGGCTGAAAACATCTGTAAGAAGCAGAAAAAAGGAAGCAGAAAAAAGCAGAAAAGGTAGAAAAACACAAAAGAATAGCATAAAGAAGCAGAATTCTAACTGAAATAGAAGAAAAAAAGCAAAAATTATAGAAAAAGTAGCTAAAATTAGCACAAGAAAGTGAAAAAGAGGAGAACCAGAAGAAAATGCGTAAGGTGCTGTAAAGATTTAGAAACATTTTAAAGGATTTTAAGCATGGTGAAAACAGCTCCATTCATTTTCAATGGCAATATAAGTGGCTAAAAAAGTGAAATAGCTAAAATAGTACAAAAAGCTGAAATACCAAAAGTCATAGCACCCCTCACATGAAAGAGCTGAATGTTTTAATTCATGAATTGTTGAAATAGCATAAAAATTGTAGAACGAGTTGAATGCCAAAAAACGTACGGAAGAAAAAAAGATTAATAGTGTGAATGCTGTGAGGCATTCACACAATTACCAGTAAGATTAAAGTAAAACTAAGAAATCAGTACTCCCAAAGGATGCTAACTTCTACAACATCAACATCAATGATCCATGACACTTACCTGCTGGTAGTTTGTTTGGACCAAATCTGGTTTTGTGTGTTAGTGAAACACTGCTGCACACGTCTTCAACATTCCCTCCATCTATGTCCTGGGCACTAAGGAGGAAAAAAATTAAAATAATACAGTAGGCCGATTCAAATCTTCAAATGTTCTCCTTCTGTCCAACCCTCAAACAAAACACTCCCATTTCTATTCTTTGTATCACAACCTTTCTCTCTGAAACTCTCAGTATGTGGAGGAACCTCTCACAGGACCTGTATGGCAGTGGTGGGCACAAGCCCGCTATAGCGCAAATCCACTAATTGTGGACCTAAATATTTAATTTGCGCTTTAGCGGTCTTACTAATTTTTATAATTCATAAGCGGATTTGCGCTTTCTAAAATNTTATCTTGAACAGTGGAAGGTATAGCTTTCAATGAATCACAACACGTGATCTATCCAACAGCACCCCTCCCAGATAAACACACTTCTTGGGAAGGTATACATCCTTGAAGACTGTTGTTTTCGGCCACGGTTCTGAGCTCTCACAATGCTTTGTGTCTGCTTACGTAGCAGGAAGGCAACAGCAAAAACAGTAAACGACTGTAATCCATACTAAAATTTTGTGTATACTGATTTATTTTACTTTACAATCGGAGCTCCTTTTTTTAAAAAAAAATAACGTTTAAACGCTGAAGCTCAAAAGCATTCGGCCAAAGATGTTAGAGATTCAGAAATGATTTAAAGATGTTATGCTAGTGAAGACCAGGGATGGGCAGTAACGCGTTAGAAGTAACGCGTTACT